AATTAAATTGTAAAGCATTCCTGTATCCATAGTTATTTTAAAGTCAAGTATTAAAATAGTGCACTTGTTAAAATCACTAAAAAATATTGAAACTGTTTTGAAAAAATCCTTAGACAAGTCTAAAGCCCTTTATAAACAAGGAAAATAGTGAAGCTCTGCAACCCAACAGGAAAAGGGAAATGCTTTGGAGATAGGGTCTCGTATGTATACTATACTGAGCCATGACATCAAGGTAATTATTTTCCCCTAAGTTAAATCTCTTATCTTACAAATCCTTCCTTTGCCAGAGGCCTCAGGCCCCACAGATAGCAAAGCACTTGAGTTCTCAACACCCAAGAGGTCTAATAGGAGCTCTACTCTTACACCCCACCAAAAACCAACTTCTGTCACTCTGTGTTTGTTGTCCCCTTTCGCCAGTCAGAGGCACTTCCCTCCAGTGCTTCTCCAAACATCTTTGAAAGGCAAGGTGTACCCTTGCAGCAGACCTTTTGCAGGCTTCTACTTCTGCTGTAGTCAAATTTCTATCCCGTGATAGGACCAAATTTCCAAAATGTGTCGATTAAGCAAACACTTCCCACTGAGAAACATACCTGACATTGATCTTCAGCCCTACTGAATCTCTTCCTGAAGAGTTCATATGGTGCTGCCTGATAAGAGATTTAGGTGTTCCATGACCCCTTCACCCATGTTTTTTTTACAAATCTTTACAATCTAACTCCTTAAGTTCAAACAGATGGCAATGCATATTGGTTATGATATTTTTTATGTAGGAAATAAACTAAATTAAGGGTGATCCTACTAATTCCACAAGTTACCCAGCATTTGCACTATAATAATAGGTGAAAACAAACAATGCAAAGGCACTACAATAAAGTTAAAATATTGAGTCACCATTGAATATACATATTTTAAGCACAACCCCTTTTAAAAAAGGTTGCTAATCCTTTCCAGCATGACAGTGGGATTGTTCAGATGAAAAAGCTGATAAGTATAAATATAGGGATTTTTTAAATATTTTATAAGAGCGTGAATTGTGAAATCAGTTTTAAAGAAAAACTTGGAATATGCTACCTACATTGCTTACTATTAAGGCACATAGAGTAACAGAAATAAATGGTCATGTCTGGTTTTGCTTACTAGAATTAATTACTACTAAGGTTACATAATTAAGGGCCATACTTACAATATATCTGTTTTAAATTAAATATTTAACAATATCAGTTAAAGCATTCCTGTGTATTTCTCTTTACTATAGGTAATAACACATGTATTGACATAATTAAATGGCAACATGTCTTAAAAACAACTGCAGCATATGTTTCTGTATTACAGAAAAACTATAATATCTTAATAATGTAATAAAACTTCTATCTAAAATATCAGAGATATACCAGAGTACATTTATAAGTACACAGTTTGAAAGAAGAGACCGCCTCTAAGGAGTGGTTACATGAAAATAGTACCTTTCTATAATATTCACATGCAACAATTCCTTCTCTTAGTGTAAGTCAAAATACAAAGTGGATCATGTTGTGCACTTGTTTACGATTTTTACAAGTACAAATATATATTATAACAGAAATTCTGATGCAAAAAAGAAATATCAAAAATCACATATATCAAATATATATTTAAGTTGAGAACACTTAATGATGTAATAAACTTTCAGAACCGACATAATGTAGCTAACCAACCATTTAAAACTGAAAAGTAAAGAAACACTTTGTTTAATGCATACAATTAACCTTTGCTTGGCTTTATACTAACTTAATAGAATTCTGATTAAATTCTTTTCGTAGTTGTGGTCCTAAACTAGACCAAACTGGGGTTTAAAGATCCTTTCACTGAACTCCTTAGATGAAACATATAACCTGGCCCAAGGAAATGAGTTTTGAAATAAGTGTGGTGTTGGTGCAAAATGTGTCATTACCATGAAGAGGAGAGAGGAGCATTGAAGCTCCAGAGCAGCATGGAGAGTGTCAGCTTCCAGACTTCCTTACAACAGAAATTTCACATTGGCCCCAGTCCACAGTGTGTTTAAGTAATTAATACTCATTTCAGCCAACCATCATTCTTTGTCTTCAACAGACATCCCAATGGAATATAAAGATTTGTCTCATTCTTCTTGCCCTTCCTTACACAACTGACAAACTTTAATGGTTATTCCATCAAATAGTGTAGTGCAGAATCTCATACAAGCTACCATGTCATCTACAATTTGTTGGTGCTGGTTTCATCTAAAGGGAAACTAAAATGAGAAGCTGTCAATAAGTCGTTAAGCTGCCAAGAAAAATATGTAGATATTTGACACATGTTATCTACAAGAAAGACTATACAGCCTGGGATGCTGGTTTCACATCAAAAGTCCATTGATAAAAACTTAAAAGTGAGGAATATTCTATAGAGAAAGTCTGAAGTTTTGTACATAGTTATTCAGTTTGATAGCACTAAAATGACTGCTCCTAAGGGATTTTGCTGAATATCTCTCAATGTACCCCACAATATATGAAACAACACTAGAGAAAACTATATACTTTCCAGCACATAGAGAGCATTTCAAAAGCTATGGAAGTTGTGTCAGTGATTTAATTGGAAAGAACAGGTTTGCCAGTTAGTGATAAAGCTGAAAACACACGTGAACAATTATTTTCCAAAATCAGGAAAAATAAATATGGAAAAACTCATCTGGGTTTTGAGTTTGCCATAAGTCAAGTAATGGCTTGATACTGCACTGATGTCAGTATCTTGGAGGGATATTCACGAAGTTTTTATTAAATACATGAGTAAATAGACTTTTTGAAACAAAATGTGTATGCCTCACTTCAAAAAAATCCCCAGCAATGTGACTTTTCAGGAAGCAACAGATACATTCTACAAACTAAGTAATATATTACAGTCTAATAGAGTCACACAAGACAGCAAAGAGTAGAAATAGTGGCCCGATCCTATGAATACAACTTGCCATAGTTACTACTTTGCAAGTCCCGTTTTTCATTCATTTTTCAAATTCTTGCTTCATGTGTACTTCATTAAAAGCTCTTAATTTAATTTTCACCTGTTTATGCTTTCAACAACTTCACTTTCACACTGAGACGGCTGCCATGGCATCAAGCACTAAATAAAATCTTCAGCTTAGTAACAGATCTTTTCTTACTAATACTTTCAATAACTCACCTTGCATGGCAGACCTAGTGTGACTCATTGACATTCCTGGGCCCCTAAATGAGTTGAACTCATCTCTCAGGAGAAGAAATAGGGCTGTCTTTGTCTGGGCACAACAGATAGAATCATTCGTCAGGAATCTTTGAAATATGCCTTCCTGTTCCCAAAGAAACCAATTTGCCTCCCTTTGCTTCAGACTTTATCAGAGCAGCTTAAAAACTCTTAAAAACTCAAACAATAATATCTACAATCAGTTCAGACTCAGCTGCAGAATTATTTTTGGCTCATAAGGGAGAAAGAGCTAGATTACCAGTCCCTTCGTCCATGATGACTGCAACTGATTTGGCAGCTCGAACTAGACTTTCAAAACTAACCTCTCTGATAACCCCCTGAAACTAAATTTTTCTAACAAACAAACTAGCAAATTTTGGCTGCCTCTAAATTAGCAGGATCCAGATTGCATTGTACAAATCTGTTTGTATGGAAATCTCTTGACCTATTTACATCTCCCTTTCTGACTCAGGTTTCTCGTTGGTGGTTGTGATTAAAAAGGAAGTACAGCAATCATGTTGAATTAAAATAAATTAAAGCTGTGCACTTTCCCAATTAGGCCTTTTGTGGGATGACTTTCAACAGGAAGAGAGGCCCATCCATCACTCTGAAGTGCAAATACATTTTAAAAGCTTCATTCTCTCTTATAATTTAAAATTTCATAATTAGTTATCATGGGTGTGGCTGGAGTTGCAAAATGTTGTCTCCTTATGGGTGCAGAGCTGGAGCACTTGAATCTGCAACAGAGTCACTAGTTTTGAAGGGCTGGCAAGCCCTGAGTTAAACTCCAAGACAACTATCACCTTGTGAATAATCACATATATGAATTGAATTTGAATTGTTAATTATGTACTGTGTTTATTTCGGTGCCTCAGCTTCTCTCCCCTGTATTACTTCAAAACTAACAAATGAATCTTAAGTTTTATTCTTCATTTATACAAATATAATTTTAGGCATAGTTATATTAACATACATTTTTAGAAGCCAAAAAGAAAACTGCCTTCTCTTTAAGTACACCAAGTATTTGCATTGTCACAATATATTACATGGACTGGATGCTTAACATGTAACTGTACTAATCTTTATGGCAAACATAATAACAAAAGAAAGTTGTTCCGAGATTTTTCTATTTTTATTTTAAAAAATAACAAAAAACCTTTCCAGTGAGGGACCACATGTAAAACTATGGTTTCTCTGCACAGAGACCAAGGCTGCTTATTACCTACAGTACACTAGCTATGATGAACAGACCACCATAGTTGTGACAACTGATGTTGCTGCCTCCAGGGTAAAACAAAGGTTTACATATTACACAAGCAATTTAACTGTTTTCTAAACATATTGCCAAGACAGTGGGAGTTGGCAGCCAGCTCTATGTTTTAGGTTTTGGATACTTGGATTAGAAGTGACTGCTGATTAGAGACCTTTTTATTCGTCTTCTACGAATTACAAGCAACCTAGTAACCCAGCAAAGAATCCTTCACAGCACTTAAACTTGTCTTCATGGCTTCCCAAAGATTACATACACAAATCACTCCACAAAAGTGGTGCAACAGACTTGTGCATAGATAACTACATACGGCAATTGTCTTGTTCTAACTCTTAAAGACTTCCCCAAAGTGAAATGTTTTATAATCCTTTTTGTGCAGTAGTCAGGAAAGAAATAAAAGAGTTTGGGGAAAGATTATCCACAAGAAAGAAACTTTTTTTTTTTTTGGGTTCCAGCTGAAACACAATAAAGAACATAATTAACTTCACAATTCTTTGTGTTTTTCATTTGACTGCAGGGAGGAGATGAAAGAGGACTGTTAAGCCTTGCATTCCATCCCAATTACAAGAAAAATGGAAAGCTGTATGTGTCTTATACCACCAACCAAGAACGGTGGGCTATTGGACCTCATGACCACATCCTTAGGGTCGTAGAATACACAGTATCCAGGTATCAGTAAAAGTCTAAAATTCACAAATGCTGTATTTCTTAGCAACCCTTGCATTTTAGTATTTCCCATTTCTAAAATAAGCTATCAGGTTTACAACGTATATGCTTGGGCACCTGCAGAAAAACTATTGTGGGTTTTATTTCAAACAGTAGTTTTGAAATGCCAATAAGTACACTGTTTTATCCTTTTAAGACCCCCCCTTTTTTTTTTAGTTATTCTGTCTTTTTTTTTTTTTTAATTATAGTTATTTCCTACTTATTGTGTATAGGCAGCAAAATAATTTTTCTGTGAACGCTACAAAATTGAAATTTCTCAGAAACAACTGTTTGGCATTTTTCCACCAAGTTACAACATCCACATCTCAAAGCATAATTTGAATGAGTCAAGTTTATTTTTAGAAAGAAGTGCATTGATAGTGAACTGTGAAAAGGGTGCTCATATCTTTATCTTGCAGGAAAAATCCACACCAAGTTGATATGAGGACAGCAAGAGTGTTTTTAGAAGTAGCAGAACTACATCGAAAACATCTAGGAGGACAGCTTCTGTTTGGCCCAGATGGTTTCCTATACATTTTTCTTGGAGATGGCATGATCACTCTAGATGACATGGAAGAGATGGATGGTTTAAGGTACAAAAACTACCAATGGATAGACTTCTATTATTGTCTTTGCACAGTATTTGGGGTCAGAATCCAAAGTGATCAGCAGTTGTCAGGACAAATCTTGCTCCCTCTTCCTTTACTAAATAATCGTACTTATTTCAGTGCCTGGGTTTAGCAAACTGCTGATTTTCAGAACAGTCTGCTTAAATACATCATCTTGTAGCTGTGTGCTATCAGATAATTTAAATACTGGAGTCCTCATCAGTAAATGCAATTTTGTTTAGGCTTCTGTTTTCTGAACTGTTGTTCTACGAAGAGAACAACTGTATTGAGCAAAGATTCCAAAAGGTGTCTGCAAACACATACCAGAGTCAATAACAACAGTGCATCACTTAGGAAAATGTCCAGAGAACATATGAAGTAATCCTACTTTGGTTCTACCTTTACGTTTTTCCCAACCTGCTTTTTCCCTCTGCTTCATTATCCTCTGTTAGAGTTGCACTATTTGTCTTAATTTAGAGAAGGTGTGGTACTGAGCCTTTACAGACCTAAAAGGAGCTGCTGTTCAAAGGCCTCTTTGGCTCAGCAAAATTGCAGGTGCCCCTGCAATTTTTAAGTATTTTTTAAGTATAAGGATATACTTCAAAACCCAGGGCAGAGGGCAATTCTAATACTTGGTTTTAAATTAATGTAAAAGAAAAAGACTAAAACAAATTAATGATGAAGAAAGACAGAAAGGAATCAATTTAAATATACCATCTTTTCATGTTTATAAAGAGAGTTTTGATGATCTACTCCTTGTCCTTTCTTCCATCATAATCATGAACATAACGTAAAACATTTTACTCTCTCCTGTTTCATATAACAAGAAAGGTCTGAATGCTTACCAAAGAAAAAAAAAATAATCAACATTTCCATTCAAGCAATACAATTTATTTCTTGCTTGCTTTCTTGCTGTATAATTAGTCTTTGGATTGTACTGTGACTAGAAATCATTGAATTCAAGAGTAGGATTCAAAGTGTTAGCAAAAAGCATTAAACACAGTTACTCTACAGGAGATATTTGAAGCCATAAAACAATGCTCATGTTTGGAAAGTTGTTCTTATGATCAAGTTGCTTCCCAACACCATGGTCAGAGGTGTTCTAGTAAATAGCAAGGCAACATATTGGCCACAACTGAATCTTGAATAGGCTCTGCTATTATTTTTCAGACTTGCATGTACCATAAAATCAATCTATATGTGATTAATCAGTAAAAGTGGGTGGTTTATTTTTCTGTCTCACTATAGTATTATATGGATTAAATCTACCAGTAAAATACTTTTAAAAACCCAATTATTTTATCCTCCACCTCTCTCAGTGATTTTACAGGCTCTGTATTGCGCCTTGATGTAAATACTGACCTGTGCAATGTCCCTTATTCCATACCCCGGAGCAACCCACATTTCAATAGCACAAACCAACCTCCTGAGATTTTTGCACATGGACTTCACAATCCAGGCCGGTAAGTAAGTTTCTGAATTACTGAATTACTCTGGAGTAGATACTGTTTTCAACCAGAAATTTTTTATACAGTCAGGTAACAACATTTTGATAATAAAGGCACTCGTGAAGTTTTTAAAGCTTCCACTCCTCCTTCTCCTCACATATTTCACAGTGAGAAACAAATGTACGTTGGCAAAGGGGAAAGCAAAGAGCATGCACAACTACTGAAAGTCAAGACCAAAATGACAGAAATGAAGTACAGGATTTTTGGTTTTAATGAATGATAAAATGACTACCCTTATGAAAGAAAAGAGCTTCAAGCAGAGGGTTGGTAAAGTACAGCTGAGATGGGAATCTTGACTGGGAATAACAGGCACGTGGAAAACAAATGAGAACATCTGGTGATATCTAAACAATAGCAAGGAGGAGAACAATGCTTTAACTAAACAACACATAATTCAGTGAATTAGGTGGGTGGTAGTACTGACGTGACATTTAAAGTCATGGTTTGAAAAAAATCAGAAAGTCAAGTTGTTCAGATAAGGAGTTGATTCTTGGACTTTTTAACAGTCCAAAATTCCTACACCATATAAGTCAATTCATTTTGCTTGGTTAAGGCACTATTCATTTCAGGTGCTATAAAGCAGAGTATATTTTATTACTAGGAAAAAATAGTTTTACATCAGATAATATAAAAAAATGGTGTAGGAATGGGAAAGTTGTAATATCTTTTGGGTATGAATCTAACATATTGTCAGATATTTTGGCTCTGTATAAAATAGGTCCCTCACATGAGCAGGCACCAAAAAGACACAATAATATTTTAAAATGTGATGCTTCATACTATTTAAAATTATGAACTCATCTCATCTATTTCTTGGGTTTTCTTCTTTTTTTTTGCTTTACAGGTGTGCTGTGGACCGCCATCCAACTGATGTAAACATCAATTTAACTATACTTTGCTCAGATTCAAATGGAAAGAACAGATCTTCAGCAAGAATCTTACAAATAATAAAGGGCAAAGACTATGGTAAGTTCCATCCAGGGTAAAGCTGCTGGGAACAGTCAGGTTTTTTGCCCATGGGATAATAAATAGAAAGCAGAAGAGGATAAAGGACTGTATAGCCATGATAGGAAACTTAGAACACAGATAGGAGAGATAACCTACCAAAGAAAGAACTTCTGAAAAGTTTCATCTTTTCAAGGTAGAACTTCAAGGTACAAGCAGATAAAAGATTCAGGACAAAACAAAATTTAAATGACTCAACTTTGTTCTTGTTGGTGTAGAATATTATGTAAATAAGATTTAACAAATTTGACGGTTGCTAGTCCATCAAAGGTCAAACTGTTGGTGCATATATTGGCTCAGAAAGAGAAGATTTTGGAATATCGGGAAGTGATGAAAATGTATTCTTAGTCATTCATAAATAACCTTTTAAGACAGAATGGAAACCTCATGTAATGGACCTCCTATAATGGAAAAAATGAGATAGACAACAACAGACCTCAGCCAAACAGGGAAATGACTGAACTCTGTTTAAATGTTACTAAAAATAAAAAACTTAGAAAAATGCTCTATGCTACTACTTCATGATAAATGGCTAGTTTAGATTAGATGACAAAAAGATAAATACACTCAATTAGGGACTTTAAATTATTAAAGCATTTCGTGTTCTCTCTGAATTAGTATGACTGTCAGTCACAATTTCAGTTTAATGTTTAACTCTGACACTCACTAAGGTCACTTGCTAGTTCAGGCAAGCCAGGTGACAGCTTCTCTGAGCCATCATCCACCTTGACTGACCATTTAGCAGCTTGTAAATCCACGATGGTAAGATGTGATAAATGCCACTGGTCTATCTCCTGGAATGCAGCATTTTCTGGTTTTATTCACATCCCTGGTTCCCCCACCTGTACTTTACTTACAAGCAAAGCAGCTGTGCTGTCCTGTACAACAGTACACAATAGTATCATGCAATTGTACTGCTTCAGTTATTGTGTGTATTTTCTGTGTCCATTTTACAAAAGCCAAACCAAAGAATAATATTTGGTTAACCACTGCTCCAATGGAATTTTGACTGCATCTTTATTGCAGAGTAAACTAAGCAATACTGTGTCTATCCAGAACAGCTTGCCAATATTAATACTAGGCTGTGGGTCAACTCCTTCAATAAAAAGAGTTCATCATCCTTTTCTCCTCCATAAAATTTCAGGTCTTACTCTTGTAGAATAACCTGAAAAATGCATTTACCAAAGATGTGCAGATAGCCTTCTGACTAAAAAATTTCCTATAAAACAAAATGGTCTATTGGCTGTGGCTTTTATTTAAAATTATGCAGTTATCATGTCAAATTGAGCCTACTTTTACCCTAAGCAGTATTTGATTAAATGAATAGGAAAATGTACACTGAAACTTCCTTGAAGAATTATTTGATGGGACTAAACTCTGCAGTTTTGTGAAAAAAAGAAAAAAAAATGTATAGGAATTGCAACTACAGCAACAGTGTAAAATTGCCACAAGAAGCTATGGCAAGTTATATTAGTTTTTATGGGATGTAACACACTCACCATGTTTAAAACTCTGATTTTGAAAGAGTTTCTCTCAAACCACTGAAAGGCTTTGGAAACAAGTTTTGTTGAAAATCAGTGGAATTTCTGCTCTTAGTTACTGGACTTTACAGTAAAGGGGGGGTAAATGGTACTCCTGAAGTTCAAGAGATCCATTTTGCAGACTGTATTGACACTAGAAATTAATAGCAGTAACAACATCAATTTCAATGAAAGTCCAACCTAATCTTTGTGTAGTTTTATTGTCCCAGGTTGTGCACATGGAAGAAAGCAACTATACCCTCTCCTATTGAAAGTCTTTAATGGATTGTTTCACAAACAGACCTGGTTGTAGCTTCATGATTTTTTTTTTTTTTAAATGTTTTATTTCTGGCAACACATCTTGAATTTTGAGGAATCTTTAAATGGAATTAACCCGTTTTCTTCAAGTAAGAGCATTTTCATAAGTGCGAATCGATATGAGACTGCGTGTGATCTAATGCTACGGTAGTTCCTTTTTAGAAAGCGAGCCTTCACTTTTAGAATTCAAACCGTTCAGCAGCGGATCCCTGGTTGGTGGATTTGTCTATCGAGGCTGCCAGTCTGAAAGACTCTACGGAAGTTACGTATTTGGAGACCGCAATGGGTACGTTTCTTACAACTCACTATTAGACACAAATGCCTCTAGGGTATGTTTAGCCACTCAGCTTCCTGTATGAAGGACCACCAAAGGTCTTGTGTATTGTGTCACTTTGCCAGGTTAGCACTGTGATAAATGCAGATTAAACTCTAGATCTGGAAATAAAATAGCACAGCATTCTAATGGTGACATGCATAACACGGTTAAGCCTTGCAAAAAAGTACCAAGAGACTCACATCATGGTTCTCTTAAGATTTTAGTTCTAGATATGCTTACATGCAGCTTTTACACTATGAGGGGAATAAATGTTAATCATGAAACTGTTTCCCAAACCAACTGGTAAGGCATTGAAAACTTTTGGGATTTTATGGAAACATCACTGATGGAACAACAGGAATGTTTCTGTAATGAATGGGCATAGCTTCCCCATACCAGATAGCTGAATATTCACAAATGGTTGTGTAGTATAGCTTGAACACAATTTTGCAATATTTGAATCACTGGATGGCTTTTAAGCATCTGAAAAACAAATCATAAGACAATGAACTGCATAGATGTATCTATGGAGCTTCTTGCAGAAAGGGTTTACTTATTTATCTGGACAATGAAAACTCTCTATTCCAAATGTAATGTAACAATTTGTTTTATGTGTTCTTGAATATAGAAATTTTTTAACACTGCAACAGAGTCCTGCAACCAAACAGTGGCAAGAGAAACCCCTCTGTCTTGGCAACACTGGCTCGTGTAGAGGTTTCTTTTCAGGTCCTGTCTTGGGATTTGGTGAAGATGAATTAGGTAAATACTAAAAAAAGTTCTTAAATCATAAGGCTTATCAGTCATGCCTGCTGAAGTATTCACAATTCTAGTAAATGTTTAAAAAGAAGGCTATCTTTCCTTTGCCAAAGCTGTCTACACTGCTCTCAGCTACACCTCAGCAGCCTTGTAAGAAGAACAGAGAAGAGAATGTGTGGTTGGAAGGGTCAAAGGTCCTTATTGTCTCTCACACCCTGTGAACTCTGTCACTCACTATGACACAATGTATCATATACTTGCCCTTATTCCCAACATTACAGACTTAAGTGGCAAAGAGATTGAATGAGCAGACTGATCCCCCTCTTTTCCCTTCCTCACAAATTTTACCTTTTTTAACCAATTTATACTATATGAAAGACAAAACACTCATGATAGACTATATATGATGTTTTAGCATCAATTTGGGTAGAGTGCCTATATACATTTTCAAATACCAATGGTTCTGCTGTATATTTAAGCGTTGAGTGTTTCTTCTGAAGTTTTTTTAATCTCATTTGGCAAATACAGCTAGATCACAAAAGTCATGTATTTTCCTTAGAAAAGGAGAACTAATTTATTGCATTGGCTTTCCTAACAGGTGAGATTTACATATTATCAAGCAGTAAAAGTATGACACAGCCTCACAGCGGAAAACTCTACAAGATTGTTGACCCAAAGAGGTGAGCATTGCATTTCTCTTTCAAATCAGCCTTTCCTTCAACCGGTTAAAAACCAAAAGGTAACCGTAGTTCTTTCCATGTGGCTGAATTATGCAATAGTGACATTCAATAAAAAGGGATGGTCCTGGTAGTTCTGAAGCCAAATGGCTTTTAGGTACCAGATGGAAAGCAGATGCTGGAATTCTCCTCGGTGCTACTGCTTCCTTACTTGACACTATGGTGGGACAATGCACAACAGGAGCTGGCTCAAAAGATTAGTACTGGATGGCAATACCTATTCTAAGCAACTACAGAAAATCATTTGACAGTACTAGCTAGTGTCAGTTTTGCCACAAATAAGTTCTGAGGGACTAGTTCAGCCTTTTTCTTTGGTTGTACAGGAGATACCACCAATGGGGAATAACACAGAAGCCTCACTCAGTCCTCAGTGGGTGTGAAGTGTCCTTGCTTACTAGTTTTCAATGTCCTTCCCTGCATTTACCTGTCTCTCCCTGGGCGGGTTTCGAGCCCCAAGGAAGGAAATCCTTTGTCCTTGGGCTGTGTGCCAGAACTACACGAAGTTCTTTAACGGTTCTTATAACTCTGCTTCTAAAAGGCTTATAAATCCCACTCAAGTGATTTATAAGACTCAGATTTAATAGGATTGGTCTAATTATTTAGACTAATTTACCAGTTTTAAAACGAGGGTAAATTAAAATTATCAAACCAAAGTTTCTTGGGATGTGATCTTTGCAGAGCAGCTAGAGCTATGAAAATATTAGGGAATATGCAAAAAAAAGCCAGTCCCCAACATGACCCAGGGGCCCCAGCAACAGTAAGATCTGACGACTAGCAGATACTCACTTTGGCTAGGGGAATACCATTTTCTTCATGATAGATCTTGCTGCTCTATCAGACCAAGTCTGCCAAGTAAAAGTAGCATATCCATCCTGAAAAAGCATCAGAAATCAACACAAAATGAAAGAGCCAACAGAAGTGAAGTTTGTTGTATAATTACTTTGACCCCATCATACCCTGCAAAAGCTACTGTCTATTTTTTTCAGCATCTACTTCAGCATGTTTCTCCATTACTATCAGATACAGTCAGAATTGTATTTTTGGTTTTGCTGTTAAGAAAAGAATTTTCCTGTTGAACTAAAACTCTAAAAATTGTTATTGGGATAACAAGTGAATACAACAATAAAATCACGAAATTGGATGCGTGCTGTACTATAAGTTACAGTAGAGTTTCAGTGTTTTATAACTGTACTATCCCAAAACAATAGCAAATAGTCTGGAAGCAGATGTTACCACAGGTTAGTGCAGTCTGTCAGTCAAGGTTATTATGTATGTTTTATTTATGCTTTCTGGTATTGAAAACATTTTTTCAGAACAAAACTTGCCATTCTTACTGGGATTGTTTAGTCTGTTGGTGTATGGTTTTAAGTGAATTTTACACCCTAAATCCACTATTAGTATCTAATTACATGGGGCTGCCTTGTTTGACCTCAGCTTTTTGTTCTTGTTACCTCTTCCAGTAGGGTGGTCTTCAGCTGACATACCTGAAAGGCCAGACCTCCCATTGCTGCACTCACGGTTGGCTGTTTTCATGTATGGAAAAGGGTCAAGACTGTGTTTGGTTACTGGTGAAAGTAACCAGAAAACTATAGAATACTTTTGTAAATTGGCACACAGTTGAAATTAAACAGACTGTGGCAAAGGGATATAGTTTTTGGTAATCTTTTTTTAGAAACATGGGATAATTTTCATTCAGGCAAAGTTTTGAGTTTTGTTGTTTTTCAGTCTCACATCACTGCAGGCTTTTAAGGGAAAGATAATGAGATACTTCCACAAAAGAGAGCTGTAGCTCTATTTACCATTTCATGCTAAGTTCCTATTACCCATGTAAACAATTTTTAAAAATTCCATGGTTTTGGAAAATGTTCATGTAAACTTTTATTAACAGAATATTATTATTCACATATATTTTACTGCTTCTTCCTCATGGTGTGCATCATACAAATACGAATATATATATATATATGTAAACACTGGCACACTAAAGATGATACAGGTGGACTATGAGCATCAGGTATAAATAAAATCATCAAACTATTCATCTTTCATGTCTTAGAAATTCATTACTTAATAACAAAACCCTGTGAGAGGTGGCCCCCGGCAGACTTGTTAATTTGCAAAGAGAACTTTCCATGCCTGGGGCAGTGTAAAAGAACAAAATTATCATTCCTTGTGGCAGCCCCTTGCTGAAAATCAATACCTTCATGCAAAACCCAGCCTTCTTCTGCTAGTGGTCATTTGTAAGCTGCTGCAAGCTTGCAAAATTATTCTTTTATTTCAGATAATAAATGTTACATGAAGGTGCAGAATTTGTATTCTTTTGATCTTTGTCGAATCATAGAAACATCAAGGTTGAAAATGAGCTCCAAGATCATCAAGTCCAACCTTTTGAGAGAACACCACCTTCTCAACTAGAACATAGCACTAAGTGCCACGTCCAGTCATTTCTTGAACACTTGCAGGGCTGGTGACTCCACCACCTCCCTGGGCAGCCCATTCCAATGCTTGACAAGTCTTCCAGAGAGGAAGCTTTTCCCGATGTCCAACCTGAACCTCCCCTGGCACAGTTTGAGGCTGTGTCCTCTCGTCCTGTAGAAAACTACTGCATAATCAAAAGTTGTTCTCAACCATAACCATGACCTGGACTTTCTTGTCTCAAATGTGTCTTAGGACAGAAATCTACTACTTGGATATTGCTAGCAATAGAAAATCAAAATAAGTAGGCAGGTTAAAACATTAGAAGATCAGAAGATGAGGGTAATCCAAAGAACCCTTTGCATTAGTCTTCAATACTCAGCAATGGTAAAGTCCTATCCCAAAAGAATCCTTCAGATGTAATAAAAATGAGGTGTTAAACTGAGGAGATACATGACAAATTGATAAACATGATCAGTACAGAGGTTCTGAATCCCACGATTGTCGAGGCAGTTTGAAACGTAGAATTCAAAGTACCACAGAGAACTTTTTGTTCAGTTCCTCCAAAGACTTCATGTCAATAACTAAATAGACTCCCATCAAAAGCACATAGTGAAATATTTCTTTTTGTAACAAGGTTGCTGAAATGACACATTAGTACTTGAGAGCTTGTAGACAATAAAGTGAAAAAAAATAGCCCTAAGTATGTGAATTGCTGCAAAATACATATATACTACTTATTACCAAAAATAGAGTGAAGGGTCTAGCCAATAGCAAATTTAGCTTTGAGATTGGAAGAGATGTTGGAAACACTAAGAATTACAAACACGTAAAACCAGCATGAGGCACATTAGTTAAACTGGCAGTCAAGAGGAGAAGTTCTCAAGTTAAAATTGTGTCTCTGAAAAATATATCCATTTTTTGACGATTATCAAAAAAACTAACACTTTCCAGGGATAGGAACTAGTGAGAAAATACAGGGAGAAAGACTTATTTTCTTCTCAACTAAAAGGGTTAGTCAGATATCCTGAAGATTGATGCAAATACTAGTATTTTATAAATTGCCTTTGTGACCAAAAAACAAAACCTTTTTATTTTGTGGTTTCCTACTTTCTGTTCCATAATTTTTCTGTTGTGCTTTCTGTTTCTACAAATCCATACTTATATCAAGCACAGAAGCATTGATGTATTCAAAGGCAAAATAACTAGGTGATCAGTGATGTAGAAAATATATAGAGGTTCAAATATTCCTAACAGAGAAAATAGGAGACAACCCCATTAGAAAAGAAAATGTAATCATTTTCTAGCATGATGAGAGGAGAAAATCAACTGTGAAAATGAATATTTGAATAAGTAAGATCTGTTGATAGGTCCATGTACTCTGTAACTTAAGCATTATTACCAGACCAAGAAGTAAGAAAATAAACTTTGGATGATGGTAGAACAGCCATAAAGTGGTTTTGTAAGTCTTCTTTTAGAATACTTACAACAGGATCACTTTTATTTCTAAGGAAATTATAGATAAAATTAAAGACATTCAGAGAAGAGCTCTCAAACCGACAGACAATGCAAAAGTTTTCCATTTAGAAGATGTCCTCTATCCCCTGTGAAGTTTTAAGTGTTTGCCACCATCCATACGGTGATTCCAAAGGGGATGAACTACTCTTTTGACCAGGATGGCTCACTGAAGCCAGAAGGTGATTTTTACAAAAGAGGGCAGAGCTTAAGTAAGTGTCCCTGCACATGTAGGAAGATTTCCTCTTCCTCTCCTTATAACACCTTATAGATCTGGATTTCAATGTGTTTCCTATCAACAGCCGGAATAGCTGCTTTCCATTGGGTTGAAACTTGAACTTGATTCAAACCATCTCACTCCTCTTTCATGCCCCCCCAGGGTATATAATTCCACTTATCATCCTTTCCATAATCACCTTCTGGGATTTCCGCTGTCAGAGAATATTTCCAAACAACTGATTTCAAACACGAAGGGACAATATCTAGGTCATACCTCATTCTGACATTGTTCAGGCTCTTTAGAAAACCATTAGTGATTTTGTTTTTTAGTATGAGTCAAGAGTGTTTGATGGTATGATAGAAGAAAAGCATTTATGAAAGTGGAGCCCTGGTAAAGACTTTAATTACTATGGAAATGCAAACTCAGAAACACACAGTTTTAGAGTAATCTGCATCAAGATACTCAGTTCTGATGGGTTATAGATATACTCTGAAGCTACTACTGGAAACTCTCTGTAGAATGAGCCAATTTTGTTGGTGAATACACTCACCAAGCCAGGTGGGCCATATGATTTCTTTCTGTTCAGAAAGTTACTATCCCTTAAGTCATTTGAGGGAATGGAAAGCCAGAATTAATGTCTAATTATGTTTAGTTTAGCCAGAGCATGCAAAATTCTTATCTCATTTACCTACCCACATGCAGTTACTATTCCCATAAGAGACACTAAAGAGAAATTAGAGCTTTTTGCGAATACCAGCCTAGAGAGTTTCAATTTACAGAAGTACTTCACAAA